CTGCTAATAGGTGGACTGTGGTCCAGACTTGGACCTTAGGAAGAGACTATGCATTCTATATGTCCATTAAACTGGGAAGCTACATCAAAATATAGCATCATCAAAGACTTTGGGAGGAAATAGCATCTGTGAATGTAGGCTTACTGAAGAGCAGGGTCTGCAATATCTAACCTTACCTCCCTAGCACCTTGCTCAGCTCCTTACTTTAGACACTTAGTAAATATTGGTTGTGGTTGTTATAATTACTGGTTTTCCTTTTAGATTTCCAAGATGGAGCACAGCAATCCATCATTCAATATTTAAAAAAAAAAAAATTCTGTCCTTAGAAACTACAAAATCCAGCGCCTTTTTGATATTGACATTTTTAAAGAAAAAAAATCTGGAGGGTGGAGCCAAGATGGTGGAGGGAAAGCAGTGACTTGCTTGAGCTCTTCCCCCAAACCCTTCCAAATACCTATAAAAAATGACTCTAAACAAATTCTAAAGCAGCAGAACCCACAAAAAGACAGAGTGAAACAAATTTCCAGCCAAAGACAGCCTGGATGGTTGATCGGAAAGGTATATCATGCCGGGTGGGGAGAGGAGTGCAGTGCGGCGTGGGCGCGCAGGCCACAGCGACCCTGGACTGAATCGTGGGCAGCTGTGGCAGTTTCCAGACTTCTCAACCCACGAACAACAAAGACAACTTAGAAGGTCAGTAGGAAAAGTCTGGAACTGTGGTGAGAGAAGGAGCTAGGTCTCAGCTGTCCCTGGGGCCACAGCTGTTTCTTGAGCTTCTGGCCCACAGACTGAGGGGGAATTGAGTGGCTTATCAGAGGGGGCTTGCAAGGATCTCTTTGCCAGTACTGAGGCAGGAATCTCTTGCTTTACCGGTGCTCAGATCTGGGTCACAGTTCTGAGGGGCGGTCCTGGGGCGAGGAGGAATGCTAGTGTGGTGAAGCTTGTTGTGGCGGCGGAGAAAAAACACCTCGCCCCTTATCATAGCACCTTGGAAGAACTGAAAATTTACAGGTACCTAGAAATATCCATGAAAACAGCTGTATAAACCCCCAAAGCTTGGGACAGTACATTCTCCACATTGGAAGCAGACTTTTACCTTAACAAAGGGTTTAAAACTCAAATAATTGGCTTGGATCATGAGTAAGCAGCAAGAGTCAGACTATATTATCTTACTTTGGTGACAAAGAAGATCAAAACATACAACCAGAAGAAGACAATGAAGCCAAAGCTCCTACATCCAAAGCCTCCAAGAAAAATATGAATCAGTCCCAGGCCTTGGAAGAGCTCAAAAAGGAATTTGAGAAGCAAGTAAGAGAAGTAGAGGAAAAACTGAGAGTTTTGCAAGAAAATCATGAAAAACAAGTCAACAGCTTGCTAAAGGAGACCCAAAAAAATACTGAAGAAAATAACACCTTAAAAATAGCCTAACCCAAATGGCAAAAGAGGTCCAAAAAACCAATGAGGAGAAGAATGCCCTAAAAAGCAAAATTGGCCAAATGGAAAAGGAAGTCCAAAAGCTTACTGAAGAAAATACTTCCTTAAAAATCAGAATAGAGCAATTGGAAGCTAGTGACTTTATGAGAAATCAAGACACTGTAAAACAAATCCAAAAGAATGAAAAATTAGAAAACAATGTGAAATATCTCACTGGAAAAACAACTGACCTGGAAAATGGATCCAAGAGAGAGAATTTTAAAACTATTGGACTATCTGAAAGACATGATCAAAAAAATAGCCTAGACATCATCTTTCAAGAAATTATCAAGGAAAACTGTCCTGATATTTTAGAACCAGAAGGCAAAATAGAAATTGAAAGAATCCACTGATCACCGCCTGAAAGAGATCCCCAAAGAAAAACTCTTAGGAATATTGTAGCCAAATTCCAGAGTTCCCAGGTCAAGGAGAAAATATTACAAACAGCCAGAAAGAAGCAATTCAAGTATTGTGGAAACACAATCAGGATAACACAAGTTATAGCAGCTTCTACATTAAGGGACTGCAGGGCATGGAATATAATATTCCAGAGAGCAAAGGAGATAGGATTACAACCAAGAATCACCTACCCAGCAAAACTGAATATAATCCTGCAGGGAAAAATAGTCATTCAGTGAAATAGAGGACTTTCAAACATTCTTGATGAAAAGACCAGAGCTGAATAGAAAATTTGATTTTCGAATACAAGACTCAAGTGGGAACATGAAGAGGTAAACAAGAAAGAGAAAATCATAAGGGACTTATTATGGTTGAACTGTTTACATTCCTGCATGGAAAGATGATATTTGTAACTCATGAGACCTTTGTCAGTATTAGGGTAATTGGAGGGGAAAAAATTGTATGTACATATATATAGAGATAGATAGATAGATAGGTAGATAGAGGGCACAGGGTGAGTTGAAGATGAACGAGTCATATCTGGAGAATAAAATTAAGGGGTGAGAGAGGATTATACTAGGAGAAGGAGAAAGGGAGAGGTAGAACGAGGTAAATTATCTCACAAAAAAAAAAACCTGAAAAGAAAAGGTTCTTACAGTGGAGGGGAAATGGGGGAAGGTGAGAGGGAATGAGTGAATCTTATTCTCATAGAATTTGACTTAAGGAGGGAATAACATACACACTCAATTGAGTATGGAAATCTGTCTTACCCTACAGGAAAATCGGGGGGAAGGGGACAAGAGAGTAGGGGGATGATAGAGAGGAGAGAAGATTGGGAAAGGAGGCAATCAGAAGCGGGTACTTCTGAGGAGGGACAGGATCAAAAGAAAGAATAGAATAAGTGGGGGGCTGGGATAGGATTAAGGGAAATAGTTTTTCACAGCATGTCTACTATGGAAGTGTTTTTCATAACTGCATATATATAACCTATATTTAGTTGCTTGCTTTATCAATGAGGGTGGGTGGGGAGGGAGGAAGGGAGAAAATTTGAAGTTTTAAAAACACATGTTTAAAAAAAATGTTTTCACATGGAACTGGGAAATAAGAAATACAGGAAATGGGGTATAGAAATCCATCCTGCCCTACAGGAAAATTGAAGGGGAAGGGGATAAGAGAAGGGGGGGAGAGATAGAAGGGAAGGCAGACTAGGGGAAGGGGTATTCAGAATGCATGCCATCTTGGGGTGGGGGAGGGGCAGATGGGATGAAAATTTGGAATTCAAAATCTTGTGGAAGTAAATGTTGAAAACAAAAAAATAAATAAAAATTACAATTTTAAAAAAAAGGAAAAAAATCTTATCCTTAGCAGTGGGGATTGTGGGGGAGACCTATTGGCATTATTAGTCATGCTTAGAGTCAGCTGCTTCCAGAAACCTTTTTGCTGAGAGCTATATGACCTCATGTCTTATAAGGCAGTGTCTAACCAAGTTCCAGTACTCACAGGCAACTTGAATAATTCTTCAAATTATAGGAATTCATGTTTTATTTATATGAAACCACAGTGGGGACACAGCAGGACGAGTGACGTATGGAGAGTTGATAACAACTACCCACCAGAAAAAAAAGGAAAAATAATTCCATCACAGGAAGTACTCACTAATCTGCATGCCAGATTCACTCATCTGTCACCCCCGGAGTGAAGATGTAAAGAGAGTTGGTCTCAGAACCGTATGCAATGGTGCATGACTGATGTCTGCGGCTGTCCTGTGGGGCTGGTGCCTGAGTGATGCTTGTTTGCAACTTCAGTGTTGGAGAAGTGGAAAGCCAGTATATTATGGAAAATGAGGACACAATTTAAAAGGAGTTCTATATTAATGATTGATGAGCTATAGGGAGACGGGGACACCTAATGTTTTCATGACAGCATGAGCTAAAAGGCAAAGAGGTAGGAGGTTAACAAATGGTTTCCTGATGCTCTGCTCTATTACATTAAATTAAAGGATTACAAAGTAAGGCCTATAAGGAAAAGTTAAAAGAGTTGGGGTCATTTAGTTGGGAGAAAGGAAGATTCAAACATAATCTGATAGCTGTCTTCAACATCCCATACTCACATAAAAGGTTTTGAATGAGAAAGATTGACCTATTGTTTTCCATGCCCATGAATAATCAAGCAAAAGGAAAGAAACAAATTAAACCAGAATGATTTAGGTTGAACCTAAGAAAAAGAACAAGACTAGGGTGAAAAAAACATTCCAGGTTGATGTGTTTTTTTCAACCTAGAAAGTGGTTTAGACATCTTGTATAAAGAGGGATAGATTTGGAGTAAAAAAAAACCTAGGTTCAAATACTGTCACTGCCATTTGGGCAAGTGACTTGTGTGACCTTTCTCGGCCTCCATTTCTCATTTGTAAAATGAGAGAGTTGGACCAGATCAGAAATTCTTAATCTGAGATCATAGATTTGATGGAGAGGAAAAAATTTACACCTTTATTTTCACTAACCTCTAGGTGAAATTTAGCATTTCCTTCAATTATTTAAAAAAGGTATTCTGAGAGAGGACCCATAGGCTTCACTGGACTGCCAAAAGGAGTCCATGACTCAAAAAAGATTAAGGATCCATAGATTAGATGATCTGTAAGGTTGCTTCCTGCTGGAAACTCTATAATCCTGGAATGGAGATCCCTTAAAGTTCTATTTTTCTATCTAAACCCTGATCACTCTATCCAATGTGCCTTAAGGTTGATAATTTTTTCCCCCAAGGTTAGCAGCATCTCTTTCCTCCTGCCCCCTCAAAAAATGAAATAAGTTGTTTTCATTTATAAAGGCCTATAAATGGGGGTGGGGGAGGTTAAAGTAAAAAAAAAAATACAAATGAAGAGAAAAACATTTCACAACAGTAAGAAAATGTATGGTAATAGTTATTGAGCAGTTTGGTTTATTAGGGAATGAGTTAATTTTTCTTTTTACACAAAAGATCCTCAATAAATCAATCACTTCCACTTTGGACTGAAACAGAGGGAGATGACAAGTGGTTATACAGCCCAAAAAGAGAGATGTGACATTTCAAAGACTTTGAGTAAAACACACATTCTACTCTTGAGTGGCATAACCTTTCCCTTTCATTTCCAGATCTTAGAAATATTAATATTCTGCATCCTGTTGTATTTCTATAAAAGAAAGGATACGAAACACATTGTCATTTTGTTGACACTTGTGGCACTTCTGGGTAAGAACTTTTCATTCATTTTCTTATTCTATCTTCTAAACCTTCCATGAGGTCACATACTAGGTTTTATTGATGTTTTTGTACAATATGCCTTAAGGAAAATTCTCAGTCATGCTACAATGTTTCAAATCATTCCATTTATTACTGTTTTAAAATAATTCTAAAGTTTACCTATTACTGCAACTGATTAATTTAAAAAAAAGATTTTAGTATTTTTTCTTGTATGTTATTTCTGATTGTATTTGGGTAATTCGTGGTCTTTTGCTTTTTTGAAATACTAAATCTTTTTTTAAGATACCATATCTTCTTAATAGCAAGTGGTATAATTGAAATTTTACGTGGCAAGAAAAGTTATCTACAACGAGAAAGGAGCTATGAATTGGTCCAACCATTCTGGATAATGGTTTGGAATTGTAGAAGGAATCAGACAATCCCACTAGTGGGCAACAAGAAAGTCAAAGAGAAATAAAGGCTCTACATGCTAAAATATTCATAGCAGCACTTTCTGTGGTCGGAAAAATTGTTTTAAAAAAAGTATCCATAAACAAAAGGATCCCTCAACTGGAAGCTCTTTTAAATTAGGGTTTGCTTCATTCTTTGTGTTTGTATCACTGGTGCCTACTACAGTATCTGTCACATAGTAGGCATTTAATAAATGTTTATAGTTGAATGAAAGAATAACAGAACAAACAGTGGTATATGAATATAATGCAATAGCATTGTAAGAGTAAGAAATAATGAATATGAAGAATTTAGAGAAACATGGGGAGATTGACAAGAACTGATACAGAATGAAACAAGCAGAACCAGAACAATATACACAAGGATTTCATCCCTCTCCATAAAGTGCTTAGCACGGTGCCTGGCACAGAGTGGGTACTTAATATATGCTTGTCCCTTTCCCTTTCCCTTCCTTCTCCTTGACCACCTCTTCCTTTCATGTGTTAGATCCCCTTTTAAAATGTAGGCTTCTCAAAGGAAGGACATGTTTTACTTTCTGTATCTGAATTCCAAGCATTTAGCATGTCTGCCATGTAAGGGGGCAGCTATGTGGCACAGAGGATAGAGCTCTGGCCCTGGAGTCAGGAGGACCTGAGTTCAAATCTGGCCTCAGATACTTACTAGCTATATGACCCTGGGTGAGTCACTTAATCCTGTTTGCCTCAGTTTCCTCATCTGTAAAATGAGCTGGAAAAGGATGTGGCAAACCACTCCAGCATCTTTGCCAAGAAAACCCCAAATGGGGAGAATGGGACACAACTGAAAAACGACTCAACAACAACAAGCCTTCTATTGGGACCTTGAACAGATAGCAGCCCTTCGGATCGAGCTTGTCTCCTATTTGTGTTGGTTGCTATGGAAACAATTGAGTGGAATTTTTTTCAGCACTACACCCAGCTAAGCTAGTAATCAGGAGGGAGAGGGAGAAATTTAGAACAATTTCCTTCCCAAAAGAAAAAAAACTGCAAAGATGAGAAACCTGATTGGTGGCCAAATGGTTAGAGTGTTGGAACTTGAATCAAGATAGCCCTGAGTTCAAACCCAGCCTCAGCCACATATTAGCTGGGTGACCTTGGGCAAGTCACTTAGCCTCTGTCTGCCTCAGTTTCTTCAACTATAAAATGAGGATAATAATAGTACCTACTTCCCAGGATTTTGTGAGGATCAAATGAGATAACATTTATAAAGTGCTTTTCAAGCACTATGTAAATACTGGAAATCATTATCATTGTGGTTACTAGTTGGGTGAAAGAACTAAGTATGATAACCATTATTCTGCTTTAAAATGAGGTGAGGGTGGGTACAGAGAATGAGAAACGGGCTTTCTATCTGATCAAAATTCTAGAAAGACCAACAAAATAGCATTCTCATTAACTCAAATACTCTAAATCTCATGAAATGGAGTAAAGTCACTGGCAAGTGAGAATAGTATCTAAAACAGCTTTTTCTATGCCAAATTATTTCAAAGCCCTAAAGAGAGAGACAAATATGGAGGGCCTAATGCCAAGAACAGTAATTGGGGGGGGGAGGTCGGAGCATGTGGGGAATGCGTTCTACTGCAGCTGAGGGGAAAATGAGGCTGCACAAAACTGTGATTGCCACTGTCAAGGATTAGTGAGAAAAATTCAACCACTATTTATTAAAAACTTGGCACACACAGGGTACGATGTTAGATGCTGGGATCACAAAGACAAACATGAAACCATCATTGCCACAAGGAGTTTACATTCTCCTGAGAGTGGGGAGAAATTGCTTCTCCTCCCGACCCGTTCAGTTGTTATAATTACAGAAAGTAAGAAGGAGAAAATGGCTAATGATTGGAGGAACAAAATACCTAGCATATCAAGAGAAATAATGAAAAAAGGTAGGAATGTAGGAGGGATGGCACTTCCAGACCTCAAATATATTATAAAGCAGCAATCATCAAAACCATTTGGTGCTAGTTTAAAAGAAAGAAAAGTAGATCAACAGTACAGACAAGCCATGGAAGAATCTGAAATAATTGAACTCAGTAACTCCAGCATTTGATAAACCTAAAAACATAAATTACCTAGGAAAGAACTTCTTATTTGATAAAAACTACTGGGAAAAATGGAAAGCATTCTGGCAGAATATAGGCCTAGACAAACATCTTACAACATATTCTGCAATAAATTCAAAATGGAAACGTGACCTGAATATTAAAGATCATACCAGAAAAGAGAGAGAGAGAGAGAGAGAGAGAAGCATATTGTATATCTTTCACAGCTCTGGAGAGAGGATGACTTTTTAGCCAAACAAAGAATGGAGACCATTACAGAAGAGAAAATGGATAATTTTGATTACATGAGACTGTCCTGCCTTGGACACTTATTAGCTATGTGACCCTGGGCAAATCGGCAAGGTCTGGGCTTCAGCTTCTCCATGTGTAAAATGAGGGGGTTGGACTGAGTAACCATTAACACTAGAAAGTCCCTTCCGACTCTAAATCTTTGACCCTAATAAAGAAGAGAAAAAGCCCAATCTGGAGGTCACTAGAACAAAATGCTGTAGTTTTTCCCTTATGCAAAAGGCTTTCTCTTTCAGAGAACTGACCTAATTCATACATGGATCACTGTGCCCATCTATGTAAAATGGGTTGGAAAACTAACTTGGGAAAGGAAATGTAAGGGCTCTTCTGAATGGGCAGTGCAAAGTTCTTTTTCCTGTGCTCCCTTTTCATGTAAAGTGAGAAATAATTATCTTTTCTGAACCATAAAAGAAGTAAAACTGGTACACTGTGGAATGGATGCAAGCCTGGTTTCTATCTCAGCCAAAAACTACTATGAAGGCAATATTTCTTTTCCCCAGTCTCTTTGATTTATAATTAAGAGTTCAAATCCCAATAAAAAAAATGATTATTTTTTTAACTCGCTGTGGGTGAGGGCCAAATTGTCATCGGGTACTGTTATTTCCCACAGGAACTTCCCAGAGCCTAAGATCAAAAAGAAAAAAACATCTTCTGACTTCCTTCAGTGACATACTGTAGCGGGAAGAGCTCCCTCACTTTAATATTAAATATTGATATGAGATTTGTCATGCTTGACAAGTCATTTATTTCTCATCTCCATTAATGTTTGGAACTTATGAAATATTTGTTCCCAGGGAGAGAGGCCCTTCTCTTGTTAGCACAGAAGACAGAGGGCTCTCACTGAGCAAGCACAGGGATTTACTTATTTGGATGCCTGAAATGGACCAGTTTTGTTTAGCTATGGTTATCTAGTGATATTTTCACAGCAACATCCTGGCATTTACCAACAGAACAGATGACAATCTGTTGCAGCTGCTTTTGAGGAACTTAGCCAATAAGCATTTAATAAGCACCTACTGTATGCCAGGCACTGTTTAAAGTGCTAGTTTAAATCACAGTTTAGTAATTTTAGATGGCTCTAAGGTCTGGGAATACAAGCAAAGGTAAAAGACTCAAGGAGCTCATGGTCTATTGGAAAGGTAACGTGTAAACAACTATATACAAATAAAGTGTGAGTATGTGTGGCCTTTTATGTATGGGCTGTATGAATGAAACAAGAGACATAAAATAAGATATGTATTTACGTATGAAGAAAAAAATATATATGAGATATATATGTATGTAGATATGGAGTAGGGCTTACATTCACACACACATATATATACATATGTGTATAGATATATATGTGTGTGTGTGGATATAAACCTTATCCTATATATATGATATATGTGTGTGTGTGTGTGTGTGTACATATGTATGTATGTGTATGTGAATGTAAACACTATCTCAAAGCCCACTGGTATTAAACCTTGTCTCAAAACCCATTGGTATAGGACTCTCTCCTCACTGATGGAGATGAATGATGAAATATACATGTATATATATATATATATATGAATGATGAATTTTATAAAGAGAAAGAGAGAGACTATACATACACACATACATACATACATGTGAATGTTAACCCTATCTCAAAGCCCACTGGTATTAAACCCTGTCCCAAAATCCATTAGTATAAGACTCTCTCTTCATTGATGGAGATGAGAAATATATACGTATATGTATATAGGAATGAATTTTATAAAAAGAGAGAGACTATACATACACACATATACACATACATGTGAATGTTAACCCTATACCAAAGCCCATCAGTATGAAATTTTCTCCTCATTGGTGGAGATGAATGTCCTGTCCTGTGTGAGAGGTAGGGAGGAGTTGTCAAGAGCAGGAGAACTCCGGCCTTCTTCAGTCTTCTTAAGGAGGTCATAGGGAGCCATTTTCCCCCAGAAGAACAAACCAGCCAATAATGTTAAAAAAAATACATCTTTTAAAAAAATTATCATAGGCACATTTTACTTCATACAAGAAAAGATGATTAGTTTGAAACATCAAAGGGAGCATGAAGAAAGCCAGGTAAGGGAAGAGGGGAAAGGGAAGACAGCTAGGTGATACATGGATAGAGTGCTGGACTTGAAGTCAGGAAGAGCTGAGTTTAGATCCTGCCTCAGACATTTACCATGAACAAGTCACTTTGTGTCTCATTTTCAATTTCTTCCTCTATAAAAATGGGGATAATAATAGCATCTACCTCATAGAGTTGTTGTAAGGATCAGATTATATAACATAATTAAAGTACATTGCAAAATTTAAAGTTCTATATAATGCTATTATTATTATTAATTATTATATTATTAGTGATTAGATATGAAATAAGGATACTTTCAATGGATCATGTCTGGACACATAAGGGCCTAGCCTTTGGTGCCTTGATCTTTTAGTTCGGGCAAGAGGAAGAAGGGGAGCAATAATCCAAGAGAGAGGTGCCATCTTGCCTTGGCATTCAGCTTACACCATGCTCTTGGTCACTCTTAGCTCACCTGAGCTGTTCCACATAGAAGGGCAATTCCTGGATATCAAAGAGGACCAGGAGATTTGGGGAGGGGGGAATGGGCAAATTCTCAGTCACCTCTGATTGGTTCTCTACCTCTGCTGTAGTAAGCAGATTGGCACCAATGAACTGAGGCTAGAAGTGTCTAAGAAAGAAAATGACAGGTTTGAGGGGCTCTTGAGAAGAAGGGCCAGGACAGGAGTACCAAGCAGGACAAGGCATCCCTAGAATGGAGGCAACCTGTTGCAAGAATGACTAGCTTTCTCCCTAATCCCCTCTTCCCATTCCCTTAAGCCAGAGGTTTCTAGCCTACCATTAGATATGAACTTACTGTAATGGTTGGCAGATTCAGAAGCATATAGCTGACTTTCAGTCTTCTCCACTCGTCTTTATTTGTTTCACTGTTTAGTTTTTCAGTGTAGGCTAATGGCTATTTGCTCATTAATTTCGCTTGGACTACCCTACTTTTCTCATCCCCTTCTTTCATTGTTTTTCTCCTTCCCCGTCTTCCTGTAATTATAGTCTCAGTGTTGGTCTTTCATCATTAAGGCTGGTAAATTGGCATGTTGCCCATGGATTTTTTAAAGTCATGAAAATTACACCACCCTGTCTGAATTCCTGATTGGTTACATCAACATCCCTCCAACTCAGCCCTAGTACAAAGGTCACCAACCATTTTATCTGATTGGTGCCCTGAAACAAATTATTTTAAAATAACTTTGGCATAATAATGTAGGCATCTTGAACTCAACATGCCTGAAACAGAACTCATCATCTTCTTCCCCGACTCCTATCCACTCCAAACCCTCTTCTCTTCCTTACTTTCACATTTCTACGGAGGACATCACCATTCTTCTATTCACCCAGGTTTCAACTTGGGAGTCATATTCACTGTTCTATCTCCTTCACATCCTGTGCTCAACTCAAATACTGTCTGCTACAAGAGGCCTTGCCCTGTCCCTACATCCTCTTGAGCCTTCCCTTCTAAAGGTACCTTCCTTCTACTCTCTCTGTGTCTTGTACCTACCTATTCATTTACATGTCATTGCGGTATGTAAACTTTTTGAGGATGGGGACTGGTTTTGTGCTTTGCCTTTCTTTGTATCTCTAGTGCTTAGTGAACTGCCAAGAATATAGGAAGTCCTTAAAAAATGCTTGTAGGTGGATTATTGATTCATTTTCTACAAAATCTCTCCATCTGTTCCCTTCTCTCCTTTCACACAACCACTACCCTAGATCAAGCCCTCACCATCTCTGGCCTGGATTGCGATAGCCTCCTAATTGGTCAGTCAGTCAGCAAACATTGTCCACTGTGCACTGTGCCAAGCATTCAGGGTACAAAGAAAGGCAAGACTGGTCTCCCCACTTATATTCTCTTCTCTCTCATCCATCCTTCACATAGCGGCCAAAAGCACAAGTCTGACCATGGCTCTCCCCTGCCTCTGTTTGGCATTCAAAGTCCTTCAGAACCTGACTTCAGTCATCTCTCCAGGCTTCTTGCACTTTGCTCACCTCCACGTACTCTTTCTTCCAGTCTGGCCAAGTCACTTAACGGCCATCTGCCTCAGTTTCCTCTAATGTAAAAAGGGGGTAATAATAACGCCTACCTCTAGGTATCATTGCGAGGATCAAAATGTGATGTTGATGTTGTTGTTTGTCCTTCGTTCTCAAGCAGGACCATGACATCAGGAAGATGATGCCATGACTTGCAAGTGAATATTTATAAAGTGCCTGGCACACAACAATTAATAATAATAGCATGTATTTACATTGATGGACATTTATTTATATTTGCATATTTATTTACATAATCCTTACTATGTGCCAGGTATTGTGGTAAGCCCGAGTTATAGTCTCAGAGGGAAAACACCAAGATCAAGGAAGACTAGGAAAGGCTTCTTACAAAGTGAAACTTTAGCTGAGACTTGAAGGAAAACAGGGAAACCAGGAGGAGAAATGGGAAGGAAAGTCAGTAAAAATACTCAGAATTGGGAAATAAAGCGTCAGATGTGAGGAACAGCAAGGAAGCCAATCAATTGATTGTATGTGTAGGGTAGTCAAGTATGAGCAAACTGGAAAGTTAAGAAGGAGCCAGGTTATGAAGAGCTTTAAAAGACAAATAGAGGATTTTTATATTTGTTCCTGGAGGTGACAGGGAGCCACTGGAGGTTTTTGAATGGAGGAAGGGGCAATACACTTGTACCTGTGCTTTAAGATCAATTTGACAACTGAGTGGAGAATGGATTGGAGTGGGGAGAAACTTGAGATAGGGTGATGACCTGTACCAAGATGGTGGCAGTTTCAGAGTCAGAAGAGAGAAGGGGATGTCCACAAAAGATGTTACAGAGATAGAAACAACAGGACTTGAAAACTGATTGGCAATTGGAGATTTGAGAGAGTGGGGAGTTAATGAAGACGCCTCGGTTGTAAGCCTGGGTGATTGGGAGCGGGGTGGTACCCTAGACACTAACAGGGAAGTTAGGAAGAGAGAGTTTGGGGGAAATACAATGAGTTCAATTTGGGACAGGTTGCGTGAATGAACAAATGGAATGAACTAAATATAATTGGATCTGACCAGTTTATCATCCTAAAATACCAATAGTTTGAGAGGATTGTTTATAATGATAATAACTAATACATAATAAAATGCTTTGTTTTTCTTTTCTTGTTTTTCAGCCTCCTTGACTGTTATTTCGGTGAAGGCAGTCTCAAGCATGGTTATTCTCTCTGTGAAGGGGGAAATGCAGCTAACCTACCCTATCTTTTATATCATGTTCGTCATCATGATGGCATCTTGTATTTTTCAGGTCAAGTAAGTCAGCTCCTAAATCTCTACTAGTCTTTCAGTATTCCTTTCTGTTGCTCTGCATTTTGATGTGTGTTGACTACACCTAATGACTAAAGTGAGGTATAGCTAGCCTCTTTCCATGTTTGTCAAGCTCACACGGCCTGCCATTCTATCTTGCTTTGTCATTCTCATCTAGTCATAAGGGGCTTTTCTCTCTCTTTCTAAACAGAAACTTAATGTCTTGTGATTTTTAAAGTGCTACATAATCCAGTTAAGTGCACTTTGATGTTTTCCTGATGCTCTTTTACTTGTAATTAATATCCATGTTACATGTATTGTCATTAGCAATAAATCACAGGAGTAAGTATACATCCAGGGATTTCATTCTAAATATAGGAAATCCATGAACCTTTCACCTTCGTCTCTTAGCTCGTGTTCATTAATTGCCCAGAGATGGAAGAAAGCAGACATTTGGCTGGGAAGGAAATCCTTTCATGAGAACTTTTGTCTTCCACTAGAACTAACCTTGTGCTTGTCAGCCACTAAGTGATTATTGCATGGTATCTAGTAGTGGTGGCATTACACATTTAAAACCTCTTACTTCTTTCCTCTCTCTCTCTCTCTCTCTCTCCCTCTCTCCCTCCCTCCCTCCTCCACATCTTCCTCCTTTCTCTTTCCTTCCCCTCAATTGCTTTGATCCATTCTCCCCTCCCCCCACCCTTTCAAAGCATGATTACTCCTCTGCCTGCTACGCTCCCTTGAATCAGCCATATGGTCTATAAAAGAAGTTTTATGTTCCCCCAAAAATGTCACACAAAAATAACTTCTCAGTGGTCTAGCATCAGCAAATTCCTATGCCAGCTGGGGAATATCAGGCCATGTTCAGAGAGAAAGAGAGAATTTCCTTGCTCCACTTTATACATTGGCCCAGCTGCTCATTCAGTAGATCTCCCTTCTAAACAAGGGATATTCTCCTAAGATGACTATTGAGCATCCGTAGGAGGAATTTGGAGAAACCCAACCTTTTGTCACTGTTGTTTTACTTTTCATTTCCTTACCAAAAAAAAAAAAAGGCAGCTTTTAAAGTGTAAGTGGAATTTCTAATGAGCACAGACATCTAGAAAGCCTGTCCCTGTATTTTGCTATTCTCTGTCCTGTTCACCTTTTCTTCTCAGTAAATCAGACAGACAAACTGGTATATTGGGTAGAAAGCTGCCCCATCTAGTGCCAGCCCTATACCCCCCACCCCGCTCCCCAGCCTTGATCCTTTGGAAACCTTAAAGGAGGGATTCTTCATTCACAGAGTGCCACAGAAACCAAGCAAGAACTGAAATTTGTGTTAGCGGTTGAAGGCAGTGGGAGGCTGTGCTATTCACATATGCTCTACAGCTGGAGCACTGATCATTGTTTTTGAAACCCTAGACAAGTCTTTGACTTCTCCATCTTCTTCTTGGCATGAGGCATGTCAATGGGCAGTCCGGCTATTCCCAGAATCTGATGTCTAACAGATCCCATTGCCTATCCTGATGTGATACTAGCTTGAAATACTTCCAACTGAAACTTCTCGTGGCCTCTGAACATGATTAATTACTTTTCATTATTGCTGTTGTTGGTTTAAACAGACCATAAAAACTGACATCTGATCTCATACATCAAATGCATATAGGCTATGACCGCTGGTTTGGAATGCTCTGTTGGTATATTTCTCTTTGTAGTTATGGCTGAACTCCATGGACTCCTTAAAGTTCTCCCTCATACCAAATGCATCTTCTCTCAGAGTCAATAACTGTTTTCTGTTCTAGGTTTCTGAACCAAGCCACACAGCTCTACAATACAACCACAGTTGTACCATGGAATTACATATTCTTCACTACCAGTGCCATTATTGCAGGTAGGCATCTGGATTGTGGACATTGTATATAAACAAGCATTTATTTCATTTATTCAGTTTCATTGGAAACTTTGTTAGGCATTAAGGAGGATACAGTGACCAAAGAGGAACACCCCCTGCCCTCAGAGAACTTATGTTCTCCTGGAGGTCATATACTATGTTCAAAGACACTACAAAGTACATAGAAAGTCATGCTAAGTAATTCCAAGAGTTAGAGGATACTGACAACTGGAGTGGGGGAAGAGGGGACCCTGAGTTGTTAGGATAATTAATAGTCTGTGTCTGAGGATTGAACTTTGCACTGAAATTCTGATGCTCCAAGGTCAGTTTGGGTCCTTTCTCCATTGCTGCTGATGACAATCATGGCATAACTTAATGGATGGTCTTCAAGAATCTAATAATTCTTTGAGGCAGAGGTGAGGAAGAGGCATCTTCCAGACATGGGCTATGATCGAAGGAAAGGCACGAAGGTGAGAGGTGGAATGTCACAAACAGCTAGGAGGCCAGTTTGACTAGAAGAGGAAGTACATGAAAGGGAATCACAAACACCAGATAAGCCTGGAAAGGTAGGTGGGAGCCAGATTGTGAGGGCTTCTAATGCCAGGCTAAAGATTTTGATTAAACATGATTAAATAATTTCTCCAAATACAAGTTTCTTTTGCTCTTGACTGAAAAGTGTTGGTTATTTGTTTGTTTTTCATGACTAAAATAATAATATGAGGAAAAAATAATATAAAGTTAAGAAACTTGATCCAAACCAAAATTCCATATATTCATTCAGCTGTAGTTTTTCTAAGTTTGACAATAGTGGCTTGTCCTATTTTTTTTGGCCAGAGGTGTACCTGCCACATCTGTGTTTCAGGGGGATTCATCTCCCAATGCAAAGTTCATGCATTTTCTTTGTGTGTTGTGATTTCTCTATTTTTGAATTGGTACAATCATTTTTGCAGTGTGACAGATGAGGGTGGCTTGCCAACGAACTATGCTGAGGAATAATTAATTAATAGTCTTCTTCTGAGGGTTGAACTTTGCACTTCAATTCCAATCCTTCAAGCACCTGTGATTAGTTTGGGTATTCTCTGCATTGCTACTGATCACAATCCCTCTATAATTTAATGGATGATCTTCAAGAATTGCTATAGCCAGAACATTAATCCCCTCAAGGCCAACCAGATGGTAAACCTCACCAAATTTATTAAAGCTAGTCTTCAGCCAACTAAGACATCCATACAGCCTTTCAACCAGGTCAATGCTCCAAACCACTCCACTTTGGTTATATTGGCCCAGAGCTTACATTATTGCTGTTAGCATTCAAGAACACAAGGCCACCTCCACAACAGTAGGAGGCATGCTGGTAGAATTTTTGTGAAGAATCTGTACACTAAATGAAGGAAATAAAATAAAGGTCTAGGATACTTCTAACTTTAGTGTGACATAGTGGCTGGTACACCAGCCTTAGACTGAGATAGGCCTGAGTTTAAGTCTCAGGTCTGAGACAGTACTGATGGTGGGAGCTGGGAAAGACATTTAAGTACTCAGTACTCTGGGCAGTCCTCTAAACTCCAGAAAAGGTATTGACCCACCAACATTGGTAGATGGAATTTCTTCATCTGGGACTTCTTTATGCCAATGAAATCACAGGTCCAGTCCTTCTCCTTCTCCCCTAATATTTTGTTCTTATTGGGAATTTAAAACTCAAAGAATATAACCAAAAAGACTCACTCTCTCTTTCTCTCTCTCTCCCTCCCTCCCTCCCTCTTTCTCTCTCTACCCTCCTTTCTCTCTCTCTCCATAAATATGTACATATGTGAGTATATACGTATATATACACATAGATAAATATAAATACATAGCTCTCTAAGTTTTACAATCTGAGGGAAAGAAAGAAATAAGGCCATCATCGTTTATGTGTATGTTACAAAATGTAATATTAATGTGCACAAGAAACTTTACTTTTTTGTTGGAGAGAAAGTACAGATAGAAAGCTTAGTTTACATTAATGGGAAAGAGGCTTCTATCCGTTCATGTCAGGACTGGACCATCTCTGCTCAGCAAATCAGTCAATCAGTCAACCAGCATCCATTAAGTGCTTACTATGCTGAGCCCTGTGCTAAATTCTGGGGATACAAAGAAAACCAAAAATACACAATTCCTGACCTCAAGGAGCTCACATTCTAATAGAGGAGACAATATTCTCCTCTCTTCAAACAATTCTGTAAGTAGAAGATAGGTGCAGATTAGGTGGAAAGTCATCTCTGAGGAAAGGCACTAGCAGGGGTGGAGAGAGAAGGGAGGGGAACACTGACAAAGTTCTCCTGTAGGAGATGAGATTTGAGCTGAGTCTTAAAAGAAGCCTGGGAAGCCAGGAGGCAGAGGTCAGGAGAGAGTGTTCCAGGCCTAAAGAATGGCCAGTGAAAAGGCAAGAAGGACAATATTTTTTGAATCTTAGAGTATATAGAAGAGAGTAAAGTATATAACGTTGGAAGGCGCCAAGTTATAAAGGGCTTTAAATGCCAAACAGAGGCTTTTAAATTTGATCCTGGAGGCAATAGGGAGTCACTGGAGTTTACTGAGGAGGAAGATGATGTGGGATGACATCCTGCACTTTAGGAATCATTTTGGCAGCTTTTATAGTACCAATCAATTGGAAGGTATTATTAATAGCTAGAAATTCCTAGGATTAGTAGTAACTAGCATGATTTCACTAGAATGGAGTATAGGGTACTGTTGGCCAGTTTCCCATCACAAAAGTATCAGTTTCACCAGAAGCTATAAGTCACATGCCCTCTGAAATATATCAGCCCTCTGGTATATTTTATTTAATTTCTATTTAGCTCCTACCTTATGCTTAGCACTGGGTTTGGTACTGTGAGAGGTACAAAAGTAATATTGGACATGGTACCTACTTGTAAAAGAGCTTATCATGTAATTTAGGCAATAACTAACTCACATGAAATTAACAAACAGCATAACATGAAATTAACAAACAGCATACCATAAAATTAACAAACAATACAAAAAATGTTATTCAATGTTAAATTGTGTGGTATAACTGAAAAGTTTGGTAGACATTCAAAAAAGAGTAAGATAATCAATAAACACTTATTAAGCTTCTAAAAGAGTCAAAAGCCCATCTCTGCCCTGAAGTAACAAAAAAATCCAATAGGGGAGACATTTTGCTGTTGTTTGATCATTTCAGTTGTGTCTGACTCTCCGTTGGCAAATATACTGAAGTGGTTTGTCATTTCCTTCTCCAGCTTATTTTACAGATGAGGAAACTGAGGCAAACAGGGTTAAGTGGCTTGCCCAGGGTCACACAGCTAATAAGTGTCTGAGGCCAGATTTGAACTCAGGAAGATGAGTCTTCCTGACTCCAGGCCAGGCACTCTATCCACTGTACCACCTAATCACCCCTAATGGGGGAAACAACAAATGAACAGATATGTACAAACAAGCTATGCAGGAAAAATAGAAAGTAATTAAAAGAGAATTTAAGGGGTTGGGAGAGGCTTCCTATAAAAGATACGATTTTAATTGGGACTTGAAGGTAGCCAGAGACGATTAAGGACTAGATAAGTCAGAGGATTCATAAAGGAGGTAGTACTTGAGATGGGCCTGGAAGAATGGGTAGTATTTGAATGCACAGAAGGGAAGGGGGACATTTCAGGTTAGGGGAGTAACATAAGAGAGGAGGTGATCCTGAGCAGTGAGGAGACTGGCTTGATTAGATCAAAGGGTGCATATTGAAGATTTTTGGAAAATAATGTTGGGTGGGGCACCAGATTCCATTGAAATGCAATTCAATTTAATTCAGTTCAGTTGAAAGCATTAAGTGCCTGTTTTGTACACTGTACTTCCTAGGGAATACATAGAACGAAAAAAAAAATCAAAATCCCTACCCTCAAGGAGCTTACATTTAGTTGAAAATGATACAGCAGAATTTTAGATATAAATGCAACAACATACAGAGGCACATTTCATTGAAAGGTTTTGAATGGGGAAGTCCCAATTGATGAAAGTAACATTTAAGGAAGATTAGTATGGTAGCAATATGCAGGGTGTAGACCAAGTAGGCTTGGTCTAGGGTTTGGGCAGTGAGAATAGAGAGAAAGGGATGGTTTTTTAAAGCAAAAATAAGCGGATTTTGATGATTAATTGAAGGAGAAGTGTAAACTAGAGAGAGATTCTGAACTATTTGAAGACAAAACCTTCAGCCAGATCAAGACATTCCTATTCTCAAGCATTCACATGAGTTATGCATAATGAATAACAATTGTAATGTGATACAATGTGTATGTACAGTTGAAAACTCTCCTATGTGTTATCTTCCCCAATTCAGCAGTGAACTCCTTTGGAAACTGGAACACTTTACTTTCCAGTTTGTATCCAAGCAGTGTAAGCAAGTGCACATAGCACACACCTAATAAATGCTTTTTCATTCATTCATGTGTGTGTATATATACATATGCAAGGTGAGATTTTCTCTTCTACTTTTAGAATAGGGACAGGAGAAAAGAGAAGAGTGACTCAAGAGTCATGTGGAGGTTCAGAACATCCATGCCTTCTATCAATATAGACAGCTAGTGAATGGTGCAGTGGGTAGAGTGTTAGACTTGAGATTACTTCAGATCTGGCCTCAGACACTAGTTGGATAACCCTGGGCAGGTCCCTTACATTGTTTCCTTATGTGTAAAATGGGGATTAACAAGAACACCAAGGTTGTTGTGAAGAGAAAATGAGATAATATTTATAAAGCACTTTTATAAACTTTGAAGTGCTCTATAAATGTTAGCTAGTATCATTATTATTATAGTCAAAATACCAAAACTATATGACAATAAAGCATTAAAATTATAGAGTTAGTGATCAACAGGGCAGTTGGGTGGCACAGTGGATAGAGTGTGGGACCTGGAGTCAGGAAGACCTGAGTTCAAAACTGGCTTGATAGTTTCTAGCTGTGTGACCCTGGGTAAGTCACTTAACACTGTTTGCTTCAGTTTCCTCATCTGTCAAATGAGCTAGAAAAGGAAATGGCAAACTACTCCAACATCTCTGCCAAGAAAATCCCAAATGAGGTCACAAAAAGTCAGACCCAACTGAACAACATTTACTTAAAGCCAATGGCACGATATCATTTTTTAGAAATGAATCCTGTGCAGCTGAAGCTGAGATATATAATTCTTTTTATTTTCAATCCCATTCTAGGAATCATATTTTATCAGGAATTCCTTGGGGCAGCCTTGTTTAGTTCATTCATGTACCTTTTTGGGTGAGTATTCCAAAAGCTTACTAAAAGCTAACAAATTGAAAGGAAAAATTCCTTTTTGAAATACTTGAATGTGGAATCATATTCCTCTCATTTATATTCTTGAGTACCATGTATGTGGTATGGGTGCTATACATGTAGTGTAGGATATCTTAGCTCTTAACAGAAAGATTTTTTAAGTCAGCATCCCAGGCATTGCTTTGGCTAGGAGACATGTCATTAAAGTATTTGTCTTCCTGAGGACTTCGGGATAGTCAGGTATTTTCTGTTCTACCATAAGCTAAAAAATCATTCTTTGGTCCAGTCCATGGCCCACCTTCACAACCTGTATCAGACCCACACAAATCCCCAAGACACTCCCTAATAAATGCTCCAGGTATCTTGTAGGACCACTCGTGCCCTCAGGGCCACCCAGACTGACAGAAGCAATTATACTGAGGCAGGCTGAGGGTTAGGGCTTGATAATATTCTATATTGGTACAGTTCTGCTGTTTCCAAAGTCCTTTGATATGGGACCCCACTGTGTGGGTTTAGTGACTATAATCCCTAATACTCATCCCCACCTAAGAAGATTGGAAGCCCTAAAAAAGGCCCTACATTGGCATTGAGCTCTTGGAAATAATTGGCTAACTAGCAAGCATTTATGAGGCACTTACTCTATGCCAGACACCACGCCAGGCACTGAGGATAATAGACATAAATCACGGTGAACAACACATAGAACTTGTTCGCTCATACATGGCAATGATGGCTTTCTGACAGTATACTCACTTGATCTTAATTACTCCATAAAATTCCAACTCGAGTTTTGTTTTTACTCTACTCTGAACAAGAAAAAAGTCTACTTGAAAATGTAATTTCACAAAATATTGTGTAAGGCTGAACTTCTGGATCTGAACCCTGTGACTGATCTTGAGGCCAAGGACAATGAAATGTCCTAGAAAATTAAAGAATAGTTTTTTTTAAATCATATGTTGAGTACCAGTAATAGAGATGGCTTGCAGAGCAACAAATAATGTCAAAGAGGCGAGGGTTTGATTTAGCCAACCAGATGGTGAAAACATGGGGCAAGGATTTATGAGAAGTTACCCAGGCCTCAGATTTGGGTGTAAGCATCATCAACCACAACAAGGACAAATGGTGGCCAGCTCACTAAGAATAAGAAACAGAATGAGCAAAGCCATTGGAATCTGTGTTGCTACTGGGAGTAGGAGGTTCCAGTTACTTATTTGTTTAAATGATGGGTAGTTCCATTTTTTTTTTTTTACAATCACTATTCTTACAGGTGTTTTCTGTCCTTCTTTGGAGTGGTTTTGGTCACAAGAAATCGAGAAAATGAACATTTACAACAATCATACATTGATTTTGGACAGATTCCTGGTAAGATTTCAGACTCTTGAACTCATTCACAAAAAATCCCTGTCTTCACAAATCAATCAATCCACCCACAGGCATTTTTAATGGATCAGGCTTTGGGGATACAAAAGTGAAATGGTCCTTGTCTTCAAAGAGTTTATATTCTAGTGGAAGAAGCAGTGTTCTCACAGATAAATATGGGATATATATTTTTTAAAAAGGACACAGTAATAGAAAGAGATGCAGAGGGAGAGGGAGACATTGCAATTTCTGTATGGCAAGGACGCTGTAACCAGCTGTACTGTCTCAGGGAGCTGATTGTTAAATTTTTAGTATGAGCATTTACTCCCAGAAAATCAGCAAACACTATAAATCACGGCTTGGATTATTGCTTCATTGATTATCTAGACTTAAAAAAGTGATAGAGAAAATGTTAATAATGCAAATTAAATTTAAAATTGTGTCATGAGTGTATTTTTCCTGGAGAGCCTATGGTTAAACGTTTACTAGTACATCCCTGGCCTTCTGACACCGTGTACGACTTTCCTAGAACTTCTGCATCACTAGGCCTAGTTTTTCCCTTTGAGGCCAAGTAGGACAAGCTTGAGTCAGATACCTGTCAAAAGATATATTCCCTTCATTCTCCCGATCACCGCCTCTGCCAACTTTTCACCATCCTCCATCAAGTGTGTTCCCCCGAAAGAAATACACTATCTCTGTCTGGCCATTCCCCCTCTCACTGTTCCCTTAGGGCTGTGATCTCAAGGGAAAAAGAAGACCATGCAGGAGATATTCATAGACTCACATGCTGAAAATATTGCCAATATTTTTAAAATAGTATACCATTGGGCAACAGACCTGAGCCATATAAAGGCACAGTGTTCATAGCAAATACTGGCCTCCATGGCAAGAACTCTTTAACTATTAACTTACAGTAAATATTTTTAGGGGAATATTCTCATGTGACATAACCACAAGCCTGGGGAAAGTAATAAATTTACTAGGTCACTAACAAGAAATGCCTTAATTTATTACATGTGTAGTGTGGGCTATGTGATCTGCATAGGGAAAAGAAGAAACCCCAAGCTAGAAGAAATTTGTATGGGCTAGTAAGTGCTTTATCAATAAGTGGAACACTAGAAAAACTGTGGTTAAGGGTAAGAAAATAGGACTTTGAAATCTTTAATCTGAATTTGATTTAAAAAAAATAAACAAGCATTTATTAAGCACTTATTATGTGCCAGGGACTGTGCTAAATGTTTTACAAATATTATCTCATTTGATTCTCACAGCAACCCTGGGAGGTAGGTGTTATTATTATCTCCATTGTACGGTTCAGGAAACTGAGGCAAACAGCAGTTAAGTGACCTACCCAGGGTTACACAGCTATTGCATTTCTGAAGCCAGCTTTGAACTCAAGTCTTCCTGGCTGACTCTGACATTTGACATACAATGTCCTGTCTGGCATTTAAATTCCAACCTAACCTCTCCCCTTTCTGCCTTCCCCTCTGCATGCTCTATACTCCAGTGATGCAGACCTCCTTGGCTGTTCCTTGAATGAGCTGCTCCATCTCCAGACTCCAGACATTCTCCCTAGCCGTCCACCTTGCCTGGGATGTTCTCCCTCTTCACTTCTACTTCCTGACTTCTCTGGCTTTTTTCAAGAGGCTACTCAAATCTCACCTGCTGCTGGAGGTTGTTCTCAGTCCATCAGCCGCTAGTGCCTACCACTTCCAGATTACCTGCCTCCTACTCTGAATATACCTTGTTTGCTGTGCTGTTCAGTCATTCAGTTGTGTCCTATTCCTCGTGGGTTCATGGACCATAGCACATCAGTGCTGTGCATGGGGTTTTCTTGGCAAAGATACTGGAATGATTTGCTATTTTCTTCTCCAGTGGATTAAGAAAAACAGAAGTTCAGTGACTCACCCAGGGTCACATAGCAGTAACTGTATGTGGTCTTCCTTACTCCAGGCCCAGCACTCTATCCACTGAGCTAACCAGCTACCTCTAATCTTGCATGTACCTAGTTATTTATCTATTGTCTCCCCTACTGGAATGCGAGCTCCTTGAGAGGAAGGGGCTGTTTTTTGTTTTTCTTTGTATCCTCAGCACTTCGCACGATGCCTGATTCATTTTAAGTGTTTAATAAATACTTGTTGACTTAACTAGCCTAGGTCAAAGTGACATACCTCTAGAACTAGAAGGAATTTCATGAGTCATGTAGTCCAGACCTCCTATTTAATGGATGAGGAGACTGAGACCCACACAAGCTAAGTGATTTGCCCTAAGTCACATGGGTATTATTAGAAGTGGGATTCGAATCCAGCTCTTGTCTCTTTTGAGTCCAGAGACAGTATTATTTCCACTGTATCACACTGCTTCCCCTGCCTTTTTGAGCTTCAGTTACCTCACCCATGAAATGGGGATATTTCTATTTTTGGACCATTAAAATGCTATGCGCATTTACTTAATATGGACATGTGCAAAGGCAGTGTCACAAGGTGGATTAGAGAGTTGAATTTAATCTAGAAGACCTGGATTCAAGACCCACCTTTTACTGATACTGGCTCTGTGACCCCGAGCAAGTTACTTAAACTCTAATTTCCTCCAGCAACCCTCTAAGACTATAAGCCACTAACTATTTCTAATCAGCTTTGCTAGAGGGAAGGTTTCTCTGCCCAAGAAACACAAGCTTCTTCCGAAACTGATGAAATCACTAATCTGGCCCAAAAGGGGGGGAAAAAGACTTGAAGGATTTTTTAAAAATTCTTCTCATCCCCACAGGGAAACAAATGTTGGACAAAATCCAGCCAGAGGCCAATGGCCAAACCTATGGAACCTTGCCTGATGAAAGCAACTCCACAAAAAGCCCAGGCAGAGAAAAGAAAGACATCTGAATGCCAAGAAGAATGTTTGTTGGCCTGTTATTCAATACCACCTTTAAAGCAAACTGCACATGTCCTATTTGTGGCAAAAGTTATTTTATGGTGACATTTGTTCACATTGTCTCAGTGTTTCCTGCCCCCTCTCCTCTTGGAACAATCATGTGCTTGCTCAGCTTTGAGAAACTAATGCTTTCTGAAAACCAAAAAGTCTAGAAATGTAATCCGAAATTATTTTAATGTTTCAGACCTCTGATTAGTCATCATGTATTTGTCCTTGTAAAATTTAAATATATCATAGATGAGTGTTTGTGTGTGTTCGGATGTGTGTATACACATATGCAGGTGCATCATGTTTCATATTCAAGCCAAATGTGTTTTAGAGGAATCAGTTTCCCTACTTTATATTCACTTCTTCTTACCTACTCCTGACACTCTTGGAAGAGAGACTTTATACCATTCCTTTTTTTTTTTTATGAGGGAGAATTATTTAAAGCATACTAATAAAGAACTAATCCTTGGAGTCCTAGATTAGTTGGGTGAATCATCTTTTCTAAAAATCATTCATTCATTTGCAGTCATTCTTTGAAAATTAAGAGCCTTTTGTAGACTGGATTTTTTTTTCCAGCAGTACACTCTAATTATGGACCTCAAAGCTTAATATCCTTGGATGGTGCATTAAAAAAAAATACCCTATTTAAGATAGAAAAGTTTCACTGGAAAAGCATACTTTATAATGTTAAATATGATAACTGATATTTATATAATGCTTTCAAAGTCTGCAAATCACTTTCCATAAATTATCTCATTTTAACCTCATCAGAACCTTGTGAGGTAGGTAGATACCTATTTTATAGGTACATAGGTATCCTCATTTCATAGATGAGGAAACTGAAACTCAGAGAGGTTAAATGTTGGAGGTGGGATCTGAACCCTGGTATTTCTGACTCCCAAGTCCAGTCCTCCATTATGCCATACTGCTGAATTTTCTTATAAAAGAATAAAAGTTTCAGATCCTTTTTAGCTCTGATGCTCTGATATAATAGTTGAGTTTGAAGAAAATCTTCATATGCTATATCATACATTTACCTTTCATTATGATGTCTTTGACAAATAGATTGTGCAATTTGATTTTTTTTATCAGCACAGATGTCAGAATTCCTATTAAAATTATTAGTGATATTCTCATCTGCCATGTGCTGTTTTTATTGCAGATAATTAGCTCAGAGATTTAAAAAGCCATTCTAGGTAAAAAGAGAGTGCTAAAGAGCTGAATTTCAACTGAATTTTAACCTGTACTTACTTGTGGGAAGAGCCTATACATAAGTTATAACTTTCCAGAGTTCAAAAGCACAAAACAAATTGAGATGGGCATTCTGTGACAGAAGATCACCTTTGATCTCATTTATTTCCATGCAAAATTGATTCGTAGTGTGTCATACCGGAATTGAGTTGAACAAATATTTCTTAAATATTTATGTTTCTTACTATGCAAAAAAGTCATGCCTGGTTCTGCAGAGAGGATACAATGCTTAGTATGACCATCTGGACCCTCAAGTAACTCAAAGTCTCATAGATAAGGAATAAGTTATTGTTGTTGTTTCATTTCAGTTGTATCCACCTCTTCATAACCCTATTTGGGGTTTTCTTGGCAAAGATGCTGGAGTGGTTTGCCATTTCCTTCTCTAGTCATTTTTACAGATGAGGAAACTGAGGTAAACAGGGTTAAGTGGTTGCCCAGGGCCACACAGCTAATAAGTGACTGAGGCCAGATTTGAACTTATGAAGATGATTCCAAGCCCAGTGCTCTATCCAATGAGCCACCTAGTTGCAAGGAATAAGTATTCAAATTACTATAGTATGAAGTAGAATGTAGATTGAGTTCAATTCAACAAATATCATTAAGCACCTACTATGTGCAAGGCACTGTGTTAAATGCTAGGATTCAAAAACCAGCGGTCTTTGAACCCAGTCCCTGCCCATACTGTCCTCCAAGTCCCATTTGTTTGGTCTCTTTCTTGGTACCTCTCTTGAAGCAATTCCTCCTCATCTCTGCCTCTTGGAAGCCCTGGGCTCAGGCACCATCTCCTAACCCTACTTCAGCTTTAGGAATTTATTTTAGGTGAAAATAAATCTCCAGAGAGAAGAAAACATCCCAGGCTGACCTAGACCATCTTGCTGTTAATGTTGTCTCTGGACTTTAGCTTACTGACCATCAAACCCAAGTCTTTGTTTTGATACTTCAGCTAGTGCTTTATAGGACGTCTCATCATTCCCTGATGTTGACTTCAATCGATCAACAAGCATTTATACTAAGTGCTGGGTGCTGTGATCTAGGATCATGGGCAAAAGTGTCCCTGACCTCAAGGAGGTTATTCCATTCCAAGCAGGAAGGGGAGGAAGAGGCGACGTGTACAGATATAAACGAAACAGGAATCTAGTGCACGTGTGTACCCCATTGGCTTGCTAAGATGTCCCGACACCTGGAGGACAGTGAGCTAACTTTCTGGGAGAATTGTTACGATGAGTGAGAAAAATGCCTTGGGGAGACAAACTGCAGAGTGTGTGTAGACATTCTTAATTTATTCTTGTTGGCAAACCACATGTGAGAAGAAGATGCCAAGGCTTTCAAAAAAGCCTGTCAACTTCATCTATGGTCTTTTTGTCTCATTTGCTTCTATAAGATCTGAGTAACTCCTTTCCTCATAGTATCCAGTGAAAGAAGTATCCAATCTTGGGAATTTCAAAAGTCAGGAAAGCACTTAGTTTAATGGAACTGGAATGCTAGTCATTGACCCCTAATAAATGAGGAGACTGCAGCCAATGGTAGTAGAGAAAATGCCACCCACAATCCCCTCAGGATACCCTAGAACCCTGAAGGGCAGATATAGCCTGCTTTGGCCTCAAGAGAATAGAGCCAGAGCAATATTTGATATCAACCAGCTTTTTCAAAGATAGATCAAGAACAAACATACAAACATTTCCCCCGCCCAATACCTCTAAGCCATACTCTACCTTGGAGAGACATCTTTACTAGATGAAGAGCCATGACCTATGTGCTAGAACCTCATTGCGTAATGTATAACATATGCATAATAATATAGGCACAATATTAAACAGGTAGGTAGCTCAGTAGATAGAACACTGGGCCTGGAGTCAGGAAGACTTAAGTTCAAATCCAGCCTCAGATACTAATCTGTATGACCCTAGGCAATTCACTTAACCTTTGTTTGCCTTGATTCCCTGGAGAAGGAAATGGCAAACCAGTATCTTTGCCAAGAAAACCCCATGGACGGTAGGATCCACAGGATTATGAAGAGTTGGACACAACTGAACAACTAAACAACAAGTATGCAAAACAAATACAGGGTAGCTTGGGGAGGGAGAGAACTGGTGGGTGGCTAGACTAACAGAAAACCTACATTAGGGGAAGGGCATCAGAATATCATATATTTGTTGTTGTTCAGTTGTGTCCAGCTCTTCTTGGTCCCATGGATAGTCCATAGGGTTTTCTTGGCAAAGATACTGGAGTGGTTTGCCATTTCTTTCTCCAGTGCAAACAAGGTCAAGTGACTTGCCCAAGGTCACATAAGTGTCTGAAGCTGGATTTAAATTCAGGTCTTCCTGACTCCAGGTCCAGTGCTCTCTCCACTGAGCCACCTAACTGCCCTTTCAGAATATACTTCCGTACTAATATGGAAATATGTTTTGCATGATTTCACGTGTATAATTGATATCATATTGCTTGCCTTCTCAAGGGGTAAGGCAAGGGTGGAAGGGAAGAAGAGAATTTAGAACTCAAAATTTTAAAAAACGGATGTTAAAAAAATTTTTCCATGTGATTTGGAAATATTTGACAAAATAAATAATACTATTTTTTAAAAAAAGAATATAGGTCCATATTCTGGATCTTTAAATCTCCAAATAACTAATATCTTTTTCTGTAAAGGAAAGAAAAACAGAAAATATGGTATCTTTATCACTACTTAAATTCCTCATTCTTTTTGGTAATTCCCATTTAGATCACCACCTAGCTAGATTAAAAAGGTCTTTATTGAACCCACACTCCAGGGTGATAATAGTGTTGGGGATGAGTAATAAGGCACGTCCCATCCAGCAGATTAAAATAGAGGCCTTTACCTTCTGCTTATGTCTCAGTTTACATGCCTGCTAACCCTATACTTATGTGAACAGGATCACTCGAAAAAGAAAGTAAAGGAAAATTTTCCTAATGTGGTGACTCAGAATGTGGGCTCCAACTTTTTACCCCCTCTGGGTCCTGGGGAGTCTATTCTGTAGGTGAGAAAGCAGAAAAAGCCAGACAGATTTAATAAATTATCTTTATCTCTGGGCCCTTGAAGAGAAATGTCAATCGATAAAATGTGAGACAGAGTCCAGCAGAAGCGGATGCAGCAAGACGGGCACACAGTGACGCATAGCTGAAATGTTCAGATGGCTCTAAGGAAGCCCAGGTCCTGAAGGCAGATTCACCTCCGATTGACAGACTGTCACTTCCAGAGGCGGCGTCCGTCCCTGTCACACTCAGCTGTCTCCTGGAAATGTGTATGACAGTTACCAACATCAGCCCTTTCAGCAGCCCCCGAGGATGGGTTTATTGACATTGTGAAATTAGCTGTCAGGAACAGGCCTTTTACTTGACAGTGGCAGGTGAGCTTGTGTGTGTGTGTGTGTGTGTGTGTGTGTGTGTGAATACCAGGAGATTCAAGTACCTTCGCGGCAACATTGGGCGTGTGCTAAGCCAGAAAGGTTCTGAAACATTCTAAATTGGTCAGTGACCCAATCCTTGAGTCAAATCCAACATTATTATTTGGAGAATTGTGACCTAGCTTCCAATTGTCTGGTTCATCAATGTACACATTTTCATTACCTTCATGCCTCTTTGAAAGAAAAAAAAATGAAAATCTGCATGTACAGAATTTCCATTAAAAAAATATATAGACCAGTCTGAGAATATTAAATTTAGGTTGAAATGTTTTAGTCCTTGCTGTCTCTTATTACCTAGCACTTGGAACTGGTGAGACTCAGGGGACCAAGTTCTCACCCAAGAATTCTTGGGTCCATCCCCCTTTTGTCTCATCAGCCTTGGGGTGTAGAACAGCTTGATTCCTATCATGCCAAGAGAGTCGTTCACTTTCTGGAGACACTGCTAAACCCAAAGAATATTGGGTTTTTTTTTCCCTAATAAGGGATAAAATTCATCCACCCCTGTCAGGGCTTGTTGAGCATTAAAGAACACCAATTCCGACATAAAGGACAAGTGGCAGTCCTGAAATCTAATAAATGTAATGATTCTGGGGTGGAACCTGCTAAGTCTAGCCCCTGCCAGAAATTTCACTGAGTTCTAGGCAAGATGGTCTCCATGTTCCAAGAAACAATCTCCTAAACAGAGAGTTGGCAAGTGGACATATGTTTGGTGGCTTAACTAAGTCAAACAGTTCCTAATGGGGCCTAGCACTAATGGACCGAAGCCACTTTGCACATTTGAGATGTTAATATACAGACACATGGGATAATCCCTTCAGTATGCATGAGTCCTACCTTCTGATCCTTTCTCCATGGTTCTAATTTGAAAAACAACCCCAGAGATTTTGTGGTGCCTTGGGCTATAGTCCTTGGTCCAAAGCACCTCCCCTAAACCTTCCAAAAACTAACCCTGGCAAGGAGAGTAATCCACTCAAGAGCTTTTAGCCAGGGAACTCAGGGTTTGAGGCCTTTTTCTCCTGCATATTTTCTTAATAATTATCAATAGTATAAGAAATATCGACAATTTCCCTCCAGGGGAGAAATACACCTAAAATGGCAATGTTCTTTTGAAGACATATCTACCACCCTTGATGACATTTTTAACAGAAAAAAAAAATCATAGTCTCCCTTTATCCCCACTCACTTCACTTACAAATGCTAAGACAGCAACTCACACTTTGCCAATTGTGTGTGACACTCTGCACAACCCACCAAAAAAATATCCACAAGCCTGTTATTTGTCTTTGAAGGATTTGTCAGTGCTAAATAGACACTTGGTCCTATGATCCTAGTCTTCATCTTGAAATGAGAGCAGATCTTAATGATACAGAAGGGCAGAAGTGGGAGGAATAGATAGCAGCAGAGAAAAATGTTTAGGCTTGATGCAAGGAGAATTTCGAACAATTAGACCAAGAGTTCTGAATTTTTGTGTGTGTCATGGACCCAGAGGCATGCTGGAGCTGGCTCAAACTGATTTGTGAGAGCTGATTATTAAATATTTCATGTGAGAATTTACACCTCCAAAATCGCAAATGCTGTAAAGAAGGGCTTGATTGTATTGTTCTGTTGATTGCCTAGACTTAACAAAGTGATGGAGAAAGATGTTAATCATGAAGATTAAACTTAAAAGTGTGTCTTATGTACTTTTTTTTTGGACAGCCAATTGTTAAACATTTTTCTGTATACCCCTCCATGAACCTCTTTAGCATTCTGGTGAGGCCTATAGATGCTTCTTCAGAATAAAGTCTTTAAATGCATAAAGTAAAACATGTAATACATAAGATTACCATGGAAACCAATTATATTGAAATATAGTTATCAAAACATTTTTAATAAACAAATTCACGGACCTCAGGCTAAGAAGTCCTGAATAAACACCATCTCAAAATGGAT